TGGGGACCCTCGGGGCTGGGGGTGCCGGGGGTGAGGGACGCTCGGGTCGGCCCTGCCGCCCGTGCCGCCTGCTCTCCGCCCACGATCGCGCGGTCCCGGTCCGGGTCGCGGGTTCCCCGCAGCCGCGCGTGGGGTGTCCCTAGGCACGCGCTCAGGTGCGGCGGAGGCGGTGACACGGGCGGAGGGAAAGCCCGGGTGCGCCTGCTTTGCACAGCCCCGGGGCAATTGGAAGTGAAGTTTGGGCTCTGGCCGGTGAGCCACCCATGAGATGAGAGGTGCCGCTCCTCTGATGCGTGGCAGTGGAGGGGAGAGTGGGTCCTGCTCTGCAGCCGCGCAGGGAATCGGAGCTCCCGAGCTGGCAGTAGGTGCAAAACCGGCGTGTGTGCAGAGGCGACAGCAAGCCCCAGGGACAGTGTTCCCGGCCGCTGTGTCCAGCACAAGGCGCCTTTGTCCGGCAGCAGCTGATGGTCAGCGGCCAGTCACAGGTTGAGTGTGGAGGGCACCCGTGTGGGTACCGTCTGTCCCGGGTGCAGGAATCGCCCCGGGCAGTCTCCTTGCCTCTTTTGAGTAGACAGCGGGGAAATACCAGATCCAGTGCTTCTGCCCCAATTCACTGCCCTGGGCTCCTGGAGTGAGTGCGGCTGTTTGTGAGTGTGTGTTGTGTGAGTACTGTGAGTGTGTTTGGGGGGCAGTGTGCACCCCAAGAGGCCAGCCTGCTTTCACCCAGGCCTGAGCCAGTCCCCTGGTCCCTGCTGACCAGGAGCCCCAGCTCCATCACCCACTGAGGTGGCAGTTGACAGTGACACTGTTTCCCCCAGTGAGGGGCAGTGGGAGACCCCATAGCTGTGACTGTAGGTGACCGGGCACAGCAGAGAGGAGCCTGGCAGGGCCATGAAGCACTGAGGGCCCTGGGCAGGTTACTGCCCTGCCTCGGTTTCTCAAAGGAAACTGGGGAAAGGAAGAGTTGAGGCCTCTGAGCACTGTGCACTCACAGCATTGCGGTTCCCTCGCTCCCCTGGGCTCTAACGCTGATAGAGGAGAGGCTGGAGCTCTGGGGCTTACACACGTCGGTCTCCGTGAGGACCGAGAGGCAGAGGGGTCGTCCTCTCCCTGGCTCCCAGGTCCCCCCACCAGGTCGTCTTCCCAACCTGGTTCTGGCTCAGGTCCGTCCAGGGGGACGCAGGCCTTGGGCTGTCCAGGGTGGCATGGCACTGTCTAGGACGTTTTCTTGCAGTTGGTATTTTAATTCCCTGTTGGCATCTTGTGATGCAGTGGTGAAACCATACTTTCTCTCCAGCCCTGGGAGATCCACCTTAGTGAACCTCCCCTAGAGCACCATTTGGTGACGCCCCTGGAACGCAGGCCCTGCGGAGCTGCCCTTTCTGTCTCTTTCCCTTCATGACCACTGGCTGTGGACGCTGGGGCCCCTGCACTGCCATCCGTAGCCCTGGTCTGAACCATGCGCTGGGGCTGTTACTCTAATCTGACTTTTTCCAGAAACACTCATGATCTGTTTTGTTATAACTCAGTTATCTTCTAATACGTAGGACTAAATTATATTTACTTTATTAGAGGAAAATTAAGGAGTCTAGGATAGAATATTCATATTTCCTAGTTTTGTAAAAGTGAGTGAATATACCCTCTGCCCTGGTAGCATTCGCATAGTCAGAATTCCTGGCATTGAGAAAGCGTCCCAGTTCCTTCCAAACCACGAGGGTAGCACAGGATGAAGAAAGCCTTGGAGACACCGCTGCAGGTGTTTATTGGTGGTTGACTACAGAGGAAGGACAGGGATGGACCCAGGTGGGGAGTGCTGGCTCCTTGCTGGAGAGATTCGGAGCTGGCATCACAGAGGAGGCAGGGTGGACTCACGGTGCTTGGAGTTGTGCTGGAGGCCCCTGCCACGGCCCGCCCTCCGCTCTGCCTCCACTTCAAGCTGCGTGGCCCGGAGCAAGCAGCCCGGCCCTCGCCAGTCTCAATGTCCCTGGGAACTGCTGCGGGGTCTCGTCAGGACCAAGGGAGCTGTACAAGGACCAAGGTGAGGCCTGTGCCTGGCTCCGAGGAAGGGCCAGTACACACGTGTCACCATGGTTGCCTGAGAGCAGAGAGACCCTTTGTGTCCCGGCCAGGGACTGGCAACAGCATATTCTTAACACTGTAAAACGTCAGATTTTTAAGAATCTGCAGGCTATTTCCTGGACAGTGGTGATTTATTTTTGAAACAAACTGTTGCATTGTAATTTCTTTCTGTTATTTATTTATTTAGAGATAAGGTCTTGCTGTGTAGTCCAGGCTGGTCTTGTACTTGCTGTGTAGCTCAGGATGGCCTCCAACTCGGGGAATCTTCCTGCCTCAGCCTCCTGAGTAGGATTATAGGTATGCACCACCACGCCCAGCTGTAATTCCTTTATAACAGAGAAATAAACATTTTTCATTCCTGAGAACTTAAAGCATTGCTGACTAGAGTGCTTTATAACTTCTAAAAAGTTGAACCGTTTACAAGTATGCTCGTGTACCTACTTTTCTTATTTTTCTTACCAGATGGTTTGTAGCAGAGGCAGCAGCCTCCCGGTGCACACGCAGGCTCTAATGGATTTGCTCACCTGACCTTTCACAGAGCCCATTCTAGAGACTCAGGAATGCGGCACAACTTTGCCACCGCGCTCCCTAACCCAGTGTTAGTGACCCAGGAACCTCAGTTAGCACCGCAGGGCTGAGAGAAACCACTTGAACCACCAAGGCCCCAGGCCGGTGAAATAAGTGGATCCCGAGGCCGTAACCCAGACTAATGTCTGTCTCCAGCAGCGTGGAGGTCTTTTGAACGGACTTGTAAAGTTTATAATTAACACAGATTTAACAAGCCAGCAGTCAGACAGGTTTGCCGCGCGCCTGTCCTCAGGACCGTGTGTGTTCTTATAGGCTGTTTTGGTGCAGTCTGCTTACTGTGGAGTTAACTTTTTTTTTCTGCACTGATAATTGAACCCAGGGCCTTCACACTGAGCTATATCCCCAGCCGCCCTTTTTTGTTTTTTTATTCTGAGACAAGGTCTTGCAAAATTACCTCAGGCAGAACTGAACTTGCAGTTGTCCTGCCTCAGCCTCCCAGAGGGCAGGGATTATAGGCATGCCTGGTTTTGTTTAACCTCGGACATTCCAGCACTGTGTCACATCCTGCCCTTTCTTCTTCAGAACCTTCTGGAATATCTGCCCCTCAGGAACAAGTGATTGGCAGATGCTTTTATTTCATGCCAGAGACTCAGTGTAATGACCTCGGCAAAGAGGCTTATGTTGTTCAGTCCGTTAGCTTCCTGGGGGTGCCCACCCTCCCCAGCATCCGGTCAGAGCGGACCTGCGCCTGCTGCAGACACATGCCCTCCTGCGGGCGCCCTCTCTTTACAGATGTGCTGGGCTCTGAAACCTGTAATGAAAATTGCTCTTTGGTGCCAGGGCCCGGGTCTGACAGAAACAAGTGGACGTGAGAGCCCCGCGGCTCACTCACAAACCTTCTGTTAACCAAGCTAAACACAGGTACAGGCGCTGTTTATTTACAGTGCAAATCAATAGGAAGCAATTTTTACAGCACTGGAAATTCAGCGAGATCGAACAGGGCGTTATTTTTGCTTTCACGTGAACACCGTCATCTGAGACATGCAGAATGGAAGGTCACGGTGATGAGAGAGTGGGCAGCAGTCTGCTGCTGCTCTGTCCTCTTAAGAGGGGCTCCGGACGCCTGCAAGGATCAAACTGGACGTGGCCTGCTTCTATGGCGGGGCTGGATGAGGGAGACACCTTTGCTGCCAGTGTGGGCCACGCCACGGGGCCAGGCCACCTTGTCTCAGAGGCCACGTGGCGTCAGACAGCAGACCCCGCTGTCCCTGCTCCACCCCTTTCCAGTCCCACGGCTGCGCGCTGCCCTTCCTGTCTGGGGTGACGTCATCTGCCCCGCGGTGACGGCTTCCTTCCTCCTGCCCGTGTCTCTGTCCTACCCCTGGGGCCCTCCCTCCTTTACCTTGGCCACCGAGGCCCCCAGCCTGGGTTTCCATCTCAGCACTCTCCTGCCTGCGCTTAACACCTTGCCAGCCGAGTGGGACGCAGAGACCCAAACCACCTCACGTGGCTCACCCGGGGCAGGAGACAGACGGCAACAAATAAAATCAGGTGTCTTGGAGGGTTTTAGAAGTGGCCAGAGCTGTGCAGACCTCGTGCTGAACCGGGGTGCAGGCTAGAAAGGGGTGACCGGCCCCAGGGTGGCCAGTGTTGTGGTTGGTGGTGTGCGCAGCCCGAGAGGAGTGTGGGCTGTGGGCTTGGTGACCCAGGCCCTTCCCGAGCAGGTGCCTCCCCCCGCACCCTCGGCGCTAGTGCCCGCACTGCCCATGTCACAGTCCCACAAGGGCCCCATGTCCAGCTTTGCCCCTCGAGCCCAGCCTGCTGCGCAGAGTCGGCCCCTACAGACACCTGAGCCTGTCCTGGACGGCCACACCCACGAGCCA